GGCCTCCTGGAACCAGCCCTCCGTTGGTTTCTGCTTCAACCACCAGAACGTCATCTCCGTCTTCTCACCCCGAGAGAACCCTGGCGACGCACGGTTTCAAGCAGCGTCAGGTGTTCGTTGCTTGAGCGGCTGCTGGTGGAGTGGGCAGTCCCCACGGCCTGTGGGCAGGCTCCGTGGGCTCCCCCACAAGCTGGGGTGGGCGGAGGACGAGGGGACAGGTGCTGGGTGCTGCCAGGCTGGAGGGAGGGAGAGGGCTGAGTCGCACCAAGGCTGTAGCTGGGCTACTTGATCTTGCTGGAAGTGTTTCTAAAGATAGCACCACTTTTTTTTTAAAGCTTTTATATATTAAAAAAAAAAAACCTTATCACGCGCCAACTGTGAATAGCTGCCGCTTGTGCAGAGGACCCGGGGAGGGGTCCCAAGGGGCTCCCAACACAACACTGGAAAGGACTGTTCCAGGAGACAGGCAGAGACAACCCCCCGCCCCGACTCAAGGCCCTGAAAAAAGTCACCCATTCTGTTCCTGTCAAGCGACCCTCCACTGCTGACCAGGCTCCCCCTGCAGCAGACCCAGCCAGCACTGGGACTGGCTCCGAGCCTGCGGGGGCTGGGCTGGAGGGGTGGCTGAGAAGCTCTGGAACCTTCTTTATAATAAAAGCCTGATGGGAAAACCTGCTGTGGGCTCCAGCCTTTATCCCAAGATGGCCTGGAAGGGAAATGTGTGCTTATAGGAGAAAGGAGAGGACCAGCTGGGTGTAGAGCCCTGCCTCGGCCATGCTCCTGAGGGAGGGTTGGGCAGATACCTGAGCCCGCCCTGGGCAGGCAGTGGCAAGGTTCGGTGGGATAGTGTGTGCTTGCCATGGGCCTGGCCCTCAGCTGAACTTCCTGGGCTTCGAGGGCCCCCATGGGACCTCCAGGAAGCCATCAAAGCTCCCACGGGCCACCTACCCCTGGGCAGACCCCACTCCTAGTACCTTTATAACAGGCCTGTGAGGAACAGAATATTATGCCCATTTTACAGATAAAGAAATGGACTGTCAGCACCGTAGAAGAATCCCCACAGGTCACACAGCCAGGGAACAGCAAAGTGGGAACACAAACCAGGTTGCGTGGGCCCCTCATTCCTCTGTTTTGTGCTTCCTCCAGGCAGTCTCCACAGTGGCTCCCAAATGTGTGGAGAGGTCAAGGTGACAGTCCTAGAGAGAACTAATGTTTATGCACACCCCCCCTGAATTCCTCGTCAATCTTGAAAACCCCACTTTTTTCACATTAGGAAATATGCAGTTTCCCCAAGGCCATTGTAACCTTGGACTGGTCCCAGTGGGGCAATCCATTCCTCATGATGGTCAACCTTACCCAAGTAAGGTCAGCACTACCACAGAACCCCGCACCACCCACCTCCCCCAGCCCACCCAGCTGGCTCTGGGCCTAAGCTGGGGGTGAAGTTCATTGCTGTCCCCCAGGAAGAGGGGGGCTTCATTAGAGGACCGGCCCCAAATCAGAAGCAACTCAATTATGTTTCTGTCACAATGTGGAGAAAACTCAGCACCCATTTATCAAGAATAAGAACTAAGAAAAATTCATACCATGTATTTATTTTTTTAAATTCATACCATTTAAACAAAATCCCGCAAATACCAGTTCTAGAATTAATGAGAACAGAGAAGTGAGAAAAGAAAAATAAACAATTTTTAGCTTTAAAAATAGCCTTCTCCTGTAGGGGCTTCAGGGTGGAGACAGATTCTTTATCTTTCCAAATTTTCTATTTTGAGCACTGATTCCCTTTTATTAAGCGGCAGATTTTCTAATTTAAGTTATTGACACATTTGATAGGGATTTTTTTTTTGAGTGGTGTGATTTTAGAATGAATACATGCTTCCTGCAGAAATGTCAGGAAATAAAAGCTACCCTAATCCACCCATGGTTCATGTCCCAGAGAATGCCGGTCCCGATCGTGTGCCCACCTGGGCTGGAGGCTGAGTAGAATCCGGGGCCAGGGTGTACACACCGTTTTGTAACCTGCCTTTTCCCCCGTGCAACAGTACGTCAGTGACATCCTTCCCGTGGCATTAAAGATTCTGCAGCTTGTTTTAATGCCTGATTAACATGCAGCTCCTTCTTGCAGTTTAGAGACACGTTGGCACATGGAGGGAAAATCTCTAGTTTTTGGGGTCGTTTCTCTGCACAGAAGGTGGGCAACTTCTGTGAGCTGCCCACAGGTCTGACCTGGGGCCCTGAAGACTTGCCTTGCAGGGACAGGATGCCCTGCTGCCTGAGGGCCAGGGGAAGTGGAGACCCTCGGCACAGGGTCCTTGGGTGGGGACCAGGGAGGTTCGGCTGTGTGTCCCTGTCCTGGGTGCTGTCCGGCCCCTGCCAGGCCAGGAGTACTAGCCCGGCCTGAGCTCGTGGAGGCACGAGGCCCAGCAATGCTGCCCCGGAGCCCGGCCGGTGGCCCCCGCACCCCCTCCAGACCATGAAGGGAGCAGAGGCACAATCAGCCCCGTGGAGAAGGCAGGCCCAGCTCCCGCGCTCCGCTCGCAGCCACGCCACAGGTGCCCCGCACGCTGGCAGCCGCTAGAGCAGGCCTCACGTGGGAATTGGAAAGCGAGGGCCGGGTTGCAGGCGGGGACTGGTGCCGCAGGGTGGCCCGTGGCCGCTTCCTGTTGTGCCCCGTCTGCCCGCTTTCCCGAGTCCAGTCTACCAGCCCCCACCCCACGCGTCTAGTTCATTCCTACCTTCTCTGCCCCTCCCTGGCTCAGCTGTTACCCCTCGACTGGACACCCTCTCAGCAACCTGCCTGAGCGGAGCCCTCACCCCAGGAAACCGTCACCATGAAGTCACCATGCTGTGCATGCCCCAAACTAGACTCATCCTCGACCTCTTTCTCACATCCAACACTTCAGCAGATCCCATCCCCCCTGCTTAAACTTCTACCCAGAACCCACCACTTCTTCAGCCCTCCCTCCACAGCCAGCTCTCCTCACGAGGACCGCCACCGAAGCCCGTGTCCCTTGCGGTCACCCTGCTGCTCACTGTCCTCTGATGGCTCCTGCTCGCAACTACAGTGAAACCCAGAGTTCTTCCCCTGGCTCCCAAGGCCCTTCCTGATCTAGCCATGGCCTACCTACCCCACAGTCCTTGTCCTGCTCTAGCTACTGCTGCGTAACAAACCACCCCAATCCTCATTTATTTAAAGATTTTATTTATTCATGAGACACAGAGAGAGAGAGAGAGGCAGAGACACAGGCAGAGGGAGAAGCAGGCTCCCTATGGGAAGCCTGATGTGGGACTGGATCCTGGGTCTCCAGGATCAGGCCCTGGGCCGAAGGCGGTGCTGAACCATGAGCCCCTGAGCCACCTGGGCTGCCCCTCCTCAGTCATTTAAAACAACAGCATTCATTTACAGTAGTCGCCCTGCCCTCTCTACTGGGGATACATTCCAAGACGCCCAGTGGATGCCCAAAACTGCGAACAGTGTGAACCCTATGGATGCTCTATCTTTTCATAGACACACATACCCACAACAAAGTTTAATTTATGAATTAAGCGCAGTAAGAGGTCGACAGGTAGTACTAATATATAGTAGATTGTTAAAATTGCTCTAATAAGAATTCTGTGACTGTGGTCTCTCTCTCTCCCTCTCAAAACAACTTACTGTACTATACTCCTTCTGTGATGGGAGAGGATAAAAGGTCTAAGTGAGGAGATGCAGTGAGGGGAAGGACACAGACATTGTGACATAACATCAGACTGTTATCAACTTTTCTGATGATGCATCAGAAAGAGGATCACCAGCTTCCAGAGCACGCTTGACCTCAGCGTGAAACCGCACACAGTGAAACCATGGATATAGGGGCACTACTGGATGTTGCTGTGCATCTGCAATTAGGACAGGATTCGGCAGGGAAGGCCTGTCCCAGTTCCACATGTGTCAGCTGAGGCAGCTCAACTGCAGCTAGAAGTTGTGATTCAGAGGTGGCCCACTCCTCTGGCTGGGGCTGCAAATCAGGGTGCCTCTGTTCCCTTCCACCAGCTGCTTGGGCTTTCCCACAGCATGGTGGTAGAGTTCTAAGAGCAAGCGTCAAAGCAGAAACAAAAATAAATAGTACACACAGGGAGTAGAAGCTGCTAGTCTCCCAAAGTCTGGGCCCAGAAACTGTCTTAATGTCCTTTCCTCTGTATTCTACTGTTCAAGCAATCACAGAGCCCAGATTTAAGGGACAGGGACCTAGACTCCACCTCTCCATGGGAAGAGTATCACAGAGATTTTTAAAGCACCCTACACTTCATCTCCCATTACTGTCCCCCCTCATTGGGCTTTAGCCACATGGGCCTTCCCTGAGGCACTTTAAACCTGTCAAGCATGTTCCCACCACAGGGCCTTTGCACTTTCTCCTCCTTCTGTTGCTTACAGCAGGGCCTCAGTCAGTAACTATTGTTGAACAGTCCTCTCGGTAGCCAGAGGGCTCTTTCTAAACACACACCACGTTAGGCTCTCTTCCATGCCTACAACCCTTCCTGCCCCCCAACTGTCTACCTTCCCTTGACCACACCATCACTCACTTCTCCCTATCCCATGCTCCTCTCAGAGCCACAAACCCCCTCCTTCCACCATATTGTCCAGCCCCACCTCACATGCTGGGTCCTCTGCCTCATCCATCTCCTGCTCATCCTTTAAGACCAAAAGCCACCTCCTCCAGGAAGCAGTCCCAGATCTCAGGCTGAGTTTAACACCCTCCCATACCTGCACAGGCCCCTCCATACCTTGGACCCCTGCACCAGCCCTTTATGTTGTACAACCTGTCTCACCCAGGGTAGGAGTTCCTATCTGGGCCCAAACCACAGACGGTAAAAATCCTTGGATCTCATCCTCCACCCACACCGATTTGTGAGGGGAAAAAAAAGCCTTTATTGATAAATAGTTTACAATGAAATAAATAGAGTGACGGTTTGTTGGGGAATAAAAACTCAGGCAGAACCTCAGTGTCTCCACCCCAGCTCTAGCTCTCAGTCCCTGCCTTCCTACTGGCCAGTTTGGATGAGGAGGACTTGGTGGGTATGCCAGCCTTCCTAGGGCCCCTGGGGGCCTCGGTCTTCCTGGCCAGGTGTTCAGGCAGCGTCTTAGACCTGCCACCATTTGGAGCAGCAGCAGCCTTGGCTTTAGGTCCCTCCTTGGCCGCATGGGCAATGACTTCTTTAGGGACACGGTTTTCTTTCTTGGCTGGAGAAGCAGCACCATTTGTGCCCTATAAGAAAGCAAACCAGGAACAAGAAGACAGAGTGGGGCAGGATTGGGCACATAGCGTGGAGCTCACAAGAAAAGGGCTGAAATCCCAGTGGGCTCCAAGAGGGTGGAAGTCTGGGTGACTTTGGACAAGAGACCCCATCTCTTACGTGTGAAATGAGGGTGATGATCCTCAGAGCATCGGAGGGCCAGACAGAGGTGAACTGTGCTTTGTACAAAAGCAAGTTACCCCCTTCTCCATGGAACTTTCCAGGGGTCGGGTGTGCGACACCCGAGCTCGCACCTGCTCAGCGGGGAGACCCAGACCAGGGGAGTCACACAGACACCCACCTTGGGGATGGTGGATTTTGAATTCTGACTCCCAGCTTTTGTTTTCTTGTGGGTCTCGCCACCTGTCAGAGGGCGGGGAGAGCATGTGGGAAGGAGCCCTTTCAGGAGGAGCCGCTGGCCTCCGGGAAGGGAGGACCGGGGCTCCTCACTCTGATGCTTATGGGCTCTGCAGCCTGGGGCAAGTCGGTCAGCCCCTCTTAGCCTGGGTGCCCTGATCTGCAAACTGCGGGCAACAGCATCTCTCTCATGGGATGGTTGGGGGATTAACTGGACCGAGGAAGACCATCTCTCACCCTGAGCAAGACACCAGGCAGGCTCTGTGTTCACCTGCACCAAAGACCCCTAACTCGGTTTATTAGTCTCTGGTCTTCTGCCTGTCTTCCACATAGCAGCTGTGATACATTTTAAAATATACCCTGTACCCTAGGCTGTTCCCTGTTCGAAGACCTTCCATGGCTCCTCATTGTCCTCCAGGTACATTCCAGGCTCCCAGCTGCCCTTCACAGGCTCCCCTATTTCCCACACTGCACACAGAACTATTTGCACTTCTGTGCATGCCTCTGGGCAAAGCTTTGCACAGGCTGTTGTCCTCCCTGGGACACCTCCTCCAGGAAGCTTCCCCTAACTTCTCTCAGATGAGTCAGGCTCCTCCTCTCTCTAGGCTCCCCCTTCCCTAAACCTACCCTCCCACATCTACCATGAGTTCCCCTACTCTCCAGGTCAAGCCAAGCATTCAGGCACACTTGCTAGATAAGGAACCTCCACTGGAGAGCAGGCCCCTCCCACCCTCCCACCTCATATGTAGTGGCTGCCGCAAACCCCTGTCCCCAGCGCTCTTCTCACCCCACTCACACACCTACCTTGGCTATTCCTCCTGCCTTTGACCTTTGACTTCCCACTGGGCCCCATGGCCCTGGGAAGGGCCTGCGTGGCCTTGTCTGGCTGTTGGGAGACCTTCCTGGCCTCACTCACTCTTGCCTCTTGGTTTTTGGTCTGGCTGCCTTTCTTGGGAGACTTCTCCTTGGCTGTACCTGGTTTGGGAGGAGCAGTCCTCGCCTCTCCTGGCTTCCTGGGTCCCCTTTTCACCTTGTCTAGATTGGGAGGGTCCTTCTTTGCCTCCTTTGGCTTCTTGGGGACCTTCTCCTTGCCCTCACCGGGTCTCCTGGGAGCAGTCATGGTGGAGGTCTTCCTGGGTTGAACTTTCCTTTTATGCTTGGGAACCAACTGGTGGAATAGAGAGAAGTTCTCAGTGTCTCATACCCCGGGACCCTACACCCTACACGAGGCTCAGAGAGGAAGGCTTTGTTCCAAAAGAGGAGGCAAAGTCGGGGGGGCAGATGCATGACCACTTCCTAAATGCCTGATGCTGAAGACACATTCTGTCCTTGTATTGCTCTTCAAGGGAGGGGTGTTGCTCCTAAATAGGAGCAGAGTGGAGGGGAACCCGAGTCTCCTAGACACACCCTAGGTTCTCTTATGTACAGGCACACCTCCTCCGCCCCACTCTAGCCCTGTGTCTAGAAGTCTCAAAGCCAGGCTCCTGGGAATAAACTGCACAGCACACACTGAGTCCTGACCCCAGTCCTCCGAGATGCTCATCTCTGAATCTCTTTTGACCTCTCACCCCATACCTCTTCCCATTCATTGTGGCTCTGACGCCCCCTCCTTCTCCCACCTAGGCCCTGCCCCCACCTCATGCCTCACACCTCCATAACTCCCTACATCTCCCTTTTGCCTCTCGGGTGGACCTTCCAAGTCAGATAGCTCAGAGTTCACAACTGCCTTTGCAACTCGGCCAAGTGTTCTCTTCTCCCACTAGCCTCAGTCTTCCCATCTTTACAATAGGGCCATCAGGGAGTGGGTGAGAGGCAGGGCAATTCGAGAGCCCCGGGCAAACAAGTGGTCTCTGTCCTGCTAGAGCCCACCTCTAAGGATGTTGCTCCCTCTGCCCCCAAAATCTCATGGCTTCCTATTACCAATCAAGACCAGAAACTACCCCTGCTCCTAGCACACATGTACGCACGTGTGTGTGCACATGCACGCACGCGCGCACACACACACACACACACACACACACACACACACACACACTCGTAGCTCCATGACACTCCAGGCTCCTTCCCGGTCTCCCCTCCCTTCAGCCCTCTTTCCTGGCTGGCTCTCAGGCCCTAGAGCCTAATCCAGCCATGAGTACCCCCAGTGTCTACCTCCTCAACTCTCCTTGACCCCACCCTGTGCATCTGGCCTTGCCATAGCTGTGTCCAGCTCTGGCCCCTGCCTGGGAGTTCTACGAGGATGGAGCTGTCCTCAGCCACCTGGTTACCATGGGGACTTAACATGGCAGTTGAGAAAGTTCCACAGTGTTCTACGGTTACTGTCAGAGCAACTGCCACGTGCCAGGGCACAGCAATGCCAAGACAGACCCCATGTCTGGGTCCCTGAGATTTCCCTGGTGGCAGCTGGCAGTCACAATGCTGGGGTTCAATTTTGTGCCCAATCTGCCCTCAGCTCTAGGTGGCCCTGAATGCCTCCCTTCTGGGACCCTCCCCTTGGAAAGGGGAGGATGTTGTGGCTCTGGGAGGTGCCAGCCCTGGTTTGGAGACCCGGGGTTTGGAGCCAGAGGGCACGAGGTGCAAACCCAACTGTGACCTTCTAGACCTCCTGGTTGGGTGTGCCTTGTCCGTTGTGAAGAGTTCCAGGGAGCTGCTGTGGGCACTCGGGACCCAGAAGTGAGCACAATGGACACAGTCCCTGGTCACTGAACACACATGACAGGGATGAAAGTGGGCACAGCAGGGGAACTGGGCCCCTGCAGGGTCTCAGGCGAGGCACACCGCTAAGCTCCCTGGAGGAGAGGGCATCTCCAAGAAGACACAAGGAAGACAGGGAGAGAAGGTGGGGAAAGAAAAGCCTCTCAGCAGGGGGCCAGCACCCAGGGCCCGGGGAGGAGTCGGGAGGGAGGTTCCCACTCCAGGGCCCAGTCTCTCCCGCCCTGCCCTCCCCCAGCCCCACTGTCCAGCCCAAGCAGGCTCACTTTGAAGCTGCCGGTGGCCCCCTTGGCCTTGGAGTTGGTGGGCCTGACAAGGAGGCCGCGGTGCATGCCAGTGGCCAGGGCCTGCTTCAGCAGGTACTTGAGCCGGATGACATCCACCGTCGGGTACTTCTGCAGGATGTAAACCTTGATGGCGGCCACCGAGGTGCCCCGGCGCTGCTCTCCCGCCTGCAGCGCCTCCAGAACCATGCGCAGCACGGGCGGGTGACGGCGCCCCACTCTGACGACGCCACGGCTCGGGCCTGCGGATGGACGCGGCGTCACCCGGAGCCCAGACAGCCCTCGGGCCCCATCAACAACAGACACGCCCGGCAAAGCACCTGCTGGGCACCGGGGCTGGGGGGCAGCAGGTCTGGGGGATCGAGCCCACCCCAGGTGGGCACCACTGCCCGCCGGCCTGGAGCAGCCCGAGGGGAGGACAGCACGCTGTCGGCCGCGGTCCCCAGCGAGGGTTTAGGGCCGGGCACACACCAGGGGCTCCATCAAGATTCACTGAAAGAATTAAATGGTCCTTTTAGAAAACAAAATAAATCAGGCCAGTTGTCTAAACCTAACTACCGTAGTTTACAGGAAATCCAGGGGCTGGCGAGAGGGCCATGGGGAGGAAATTAGCAAAATCCAGACTGTGAGGAGCACTCCAGGACACACAGCCCAGCTCCTTCTACAAATAAACAAGGAGGAAAAGAAAAAGTGGGAAGGGGCCCTACGGATGAAAGGGACTGCAGAGCCCTTTCAACCAGATGCAACGTGGAATCCTTGGCTCAAACTCAGAACAGGACTTATACCAACTAGTGGTGGTGTGTGTGGGGGGGCAACCAGATAAATGTGAAAGTTGGAAATATTTGGTGATATTAAGGATGATATTTTTTCAGGTTTGCTGATGGCATGGTAGTTATTTGCAAGAGGCTCTTATCTTTTAAAGGTAACTATTGAAGGCAACAGAATCAAAAATCAACTATTGGGATCACATCAAACTAAGAAGGTTTGCACAGTGAAGGAAATCACCACAGAAGGGAAAGGCAGCCTACTGGATGGGAGAAGGTATTTGCAAATGCTGTATTCTACGAGGGGTTAATATCCAAAATATATAAAGAACTCCTATAACTCAATAACCAAAAACACCTGTCTGAATAAAAAATGCACAGAGGATTTGAATAGACATTTCTCCAATGACAGATCACCAAGAGGCACATGAAAAGATGCTCAACATCATTCATCACCAGGGAAATACAAATCACAACCACAATGAGATAGCACCTCACACCTGTCAGAAGGCCTAAAATTAAAAAAGACAAGAAATAGCAACACCTGGGTGGCTCTGCAGTTAAGGGTCTCTTAATCTCAGCTTTGGTCTTGATCTCAGGGTTATGAGTTCAAGCCCCGTGTTGGGCTCTATGCTGGGCATGAAGCCTACTTTAAAAAAAATAAGATTAAAATAACAAATGTTGGTGAGGCTGTGGAGAAAAGGGAACCCTTGTGTACTGTTGGTGAGAATGTAAATTGATGCAACCACTCTGGAAAACAATATGGAGGTTCCTCAAATTTTAAAAATAGAGGGATCCCTGGGTGGCGCAGCAGTTTGGCGCCTGCATTTGGCCCAGGGCGCGATCCTGGAGACCCGGGATCGAATCCCACGTCAGGCTCCCGGTGGAGCCTGCTTCTCCCTCTGCCTGTGTCTCTGCCTCTCTCTCTCTCTCTCTCTCTCTCTCTCTCTCTCTCTCTCATAAGTAAATAAAAATTAAAAAAAAAATAGAGCTACCCTACCGTTGAGCAATTCTACTTCTACATATTTACCTGAAGAAAACAAAAGTTCTAATTCAAAAAGATATATGCACCCCCCCTATGTTCATTGCAATATTATTTACAATAGTCAAGATATGGAAGCAGCTCATATCCATGAAGAGATGAATGGATAAAGATGACATGGTATGTGGATTCAGTGGAATATTACTCAGCCCTAATTTTGGCATTTGCAACAACATAGGATAGACCTAGAAGGTATTAGGCTAAGTGAAATAAGACAGAAAGAAAAGACTGATTTCACTTATGTAGGGTAACTACACTTAATAATGGTAAACATTTTGTAACATATACAAATAACAAATAACACACGGGATGCCTGAGTGGCTCAGGTCATGATCCAAGAGTCCTGGGATTGAGTCCCACATCAGGTTCCCCACAGGGAGCCTACTTCTCCCTCTGCCTGTGTCTCTCCTTCTCTCTCTGGGTCTGTCATGAATAAATAAAATCTTTAAAAACAAAACAAAACAAAAAACCAAATACTAAATCATGGTTATATACCTAAAACTAATATAATATTGTATAGGAATTAAAAATAGTTTTAATGTTTTTTTTAATTTTTATTTATTTATGATAGTCACAGAGAGAGAGAGAGAGAGGCAGAGACACAGGCAGAGGGAGAAGCAGGCTCCATGCACCGGGAGCCCGACGTGGGATTCGATCCCAGGTCTCCAGGATTGCGCCCTGGGCCAAAGGCAGGCGCCAAACCGCTGCGCCACCCAGGGATCCCTAAAAATAGTTTTAAAAAACAAAGATGGGGCACCTGGGTGTCTCAGGCAATGAAGCATCCGACTCCTGATTTTGGCTCAGGTCATGATCTCAGGGTTGTGAGACTGAGCCCCATGTCTGGCTCTGTGCTGGGCATGGAGCCTGCTTGGGATTCTTTCTCTCCCTCTGCTTTTTGCCTCTCTGCACCTTCCCTGCTCCTCTCTTTCAAAAATATAAGAACTAAAAATTTAAAAACCAAGATAAATGCGGGACTATTTATAGGTGAAATGATAAGCCTGGCATTTGCTTTGAAATAACACAGTGGGTGAAATAAGACTAGTTAGGATCTGATAAGTATTAAGCTGGATGATGGGTGCATAGGGAAGGGAGTGTGTGTGTGTGTGTGTGTGTGTGTGTGTGTGTGTGTGTGTGTGTTGGGGGTGGGGGTGGTCAATATACCACTCAGTCTACTTTTGCATGCATTTGAAGTTTTCATACATAAAAAGTTACAAAAGAATCCCACTCCTGGGTGTGTATACTCAAGAGAAATAAAAACATATGTTCAAATGAAGATTTGTACACAAATGTTCATAACAGCATTGTTTATAATAGCCAAAAGTAGAAACCCAAATGTCCATAAACTAATGAATTGGATAAACAGAACATGGTATTAGCCGTAAAATGGAAAATCATCCAGCAAAAAGAAAAAATGAAATACATCCTTGAAAACATGCTGGGGGGACGCCTGGGTGGCTCAGTGGTTGGGCATCTACCCTTGCCTCAGGTCATGATCCCAGAGTCTCAGGATCAAATCCCACATCGGGCTCCCAACAGGGAGCCTGCTTCTCCCTCTGCCTGTGTGTGTGTGTCTCTCATGAATAAATAAATAAAATCTTTAAAAATAATAAAACATGCTGGTACAAGAAGTCAGTCACAAAGTCACATGTTATAGGATGTCATTTACACGAAATGTCCTGAATGGCTAATACTAGACAAAAAGTAGATTAATGGTTGTGGGGTGGGGGTGTGGATCGTGGGTGGGAAAGGGCAGAGACTGTAAGGGGTGCAGGTTTTCTTTTGGAGGATGAAACTATTCTAACTCCACTATTGCCTGTGGTGATGGATACACAGCTGTGAATATACTAATAGCCACAGTACCCTTTAATGGGTGAATTGTCTCATATGTGAATTGTTGAGATCTCAATTACCTGTTTTTGTTTTTTTAAGTTGCAAAAGAAAATAGGATCAAGGGGTGAGAAGCCATCAGTCACTAAAGACACATAAAAGCGGTCTAAATATCAAAGACCTAATTTAAGTGTGGTGATTAGAAATGTTGGCTTCTGATCAATTTGCAAAAATTAAAGACTTTTAAAAAGGAATCAATTGGCTCATATATATATGAGTGTGTATGTTTATATATACATATATATACATATATGCTTTAATTTACTTGAGAGAGAGAGAGAAAGAACACACATGATAGCTGGGGGGAGCGGCAGAGAGAGAAGCAAGCTCTCCACTGAGCAGGGAACCCAATGTGAGGATCTATCCCAGGACCCCAGAGATTATGACCTGAGCTGAGGGCAGCTGCTTAAGCATTGGAGCCACTCAGGTGACCCAAATACACACACACACACACACACACACACACACACACACACACACACACATATATATTTTAAAAACACACACACATTTTAAAGTAGAAAAAAAAAAAAAGCAAAAACTTGTACAGACCTAATCCAATTCAACTATTGCTGCCTCCTGACCAGGAAGAGCTCCATGTCTGGGAATACTCGTTTGGGGGCCAGAGCTCTTGAATGTGTGGAATCCCTCGTCAGCCACACCCAGGACCTTGGGAGTTTCACTCTCCTTTCTGGGCCTCAATCTTCCCATCTGTACAGTGGGGATGGAGTCTCTAAAGAAATCTGCATACTCCCAACTGCAGTGTCCTCTGGCCTGGCCTATGATGACAGTTCTAACCACCCCCTCCCTCCCCCAAGCCAGGCCCTGTCCCAGGGAGCCACCCCAAATCTCCTGCCTCCTCGGGGTTCCTACAGCTGAATTCAGTCCTCCTTCTGCATTATTCAATGTCTGCTGTATCTCAGCATGACCAGAACAGAACTCACAGCTCCCCCAAACTTGTCCTCCACCCTCTCTCCCACAAATGGCACCCACTATACCTACCCAGACCCCCACACAAGAACCTGGAGGACACCCTGGACCTCCCATTGCCTTCACCACCACACCACTCCACCCTTTCTTCATGGGTTTCTCCCCCCTCTATCCCGAGGGCCCCAATCTCCTTCCCTCTGCACCTCACCTCCCTCACCCTCACCTCCCCACTGTCCTCAGCATAAGGGCCCAGCTGGAGACTTGGAGGCTCAGTGTGGCAGGTCCTGCCCCTCCACCCTTCCTGCCCTGCCACTCTGCCCCTGGCCAGGGGGGGGGCCTGGGACTCCCTGGATGCTTCCCCCAGCCCCCTTGCCCCTGGGCCTCTGCTGATGCTCTTCCCTTGCCTGGGTGGCCTCTGTCCCCTGTGGGCACTCTGGTAGCTCTCACTTATCCTTCCAGGCCCACGCAGCACTGGGATTTGGACACCTGCCCTGACTTCCCAAGCCAGAGTGAGGAACTCTGTCTCAGGCTTCAAAGCACCTGGAACCCACCCTCCAACTTTTCCTCTGAAGGAGCCTTTACTCCCACTCAGAACACTGCTCCTACTGTACCCTCCTTCTCCTGGGTGAGGCTTAACCCTCCTTCAGGGGTCACCTCCTCCAGAAAGCTTTCCTTGACCTCCTGGAATGGGTTAGTGGCTCCTCTGGATTCCTACAGCCCTCTGTATTCCCGACAGTAAAGCACATGCCAACAGTATCAAATGGCATCTATAAATAAAGCAGTCTTGCCCTTCAGACTGGGAGCTCCTGGAGGGAATGAATGAACCTATCTATATCCAGAGAAACCCTGAGGCATTGTTTGTGGACTAAAAATTGGGATACAGCCTTAAATCCAAGGCCCAGCCTTATATCAAATGCTTGCTCTTTGTTGCTAAACCTCCAACTAGGTGCCCTGCAGCCGCCAGCCCTCCCCTGACAGGAAATGGGCTCCAGCTGGGGAAGCCCACTCTGCCCTCTCCTACTGAGCTGGGCCAACCTCAGAACCCAGACCGGACCTGGTCCCTGCCATCTCGGGCATCAGCTCTTCTGTCCAATGAGCATGTGAACTCAATGGCCTTTAGGATGGGTGCTGGGGCCAGGCAGGCTGAGGACGCTGGGTGGCACAGGGAGGTTCCAGGACACCCAGGGAATGGGCTCCTGAGGAGCTGCCTCCTTTGCATACCTGGCTTTTCAGACTCAGACACCACGGATGACCCCTCTGTAGAAGTTGAGGAGGTTGAGGAGGTTGAGATGTCACTGGAGGCAATGCTCCCAGGAGCCATTGCACAGGCAGATGCAGACACAGATGCAGATGGTCAGAACCCTTCCCAAGGCGTGAGACTTGCACGCCTGCCCATCCTCTTATATATCAGCAGCCCAGCCACATCACTCCAATTAGCCTCTGATTGGGCTGGGAGGCTCTGAGCTGCTGATTGGGGTAGGGGGCCTGGGATGGGCACTAAAACCCGCCTTGTGTGCTGACACACCAGCCTGGCCACCCACTCCTCTGTGACCTTGGGTGAGTCAATTGATTTCTTTGGGTCTCAGGCCCATGGCAAAATGATGGGTGCTGAGATGCTTAATCCCTCCTGTGCCCTTTACCCCCACAGGGCCTGGAGATGCTGATGGGAAACTAGGCACACCTGGGTTGTGGCCTCCAATCCCACCTGCCCCAATGCCACTCCTGTTCCCAGGCTACTGCTGACCTTGGTTTCTCAAGAAGTGGCAACTGAAGGCAGGCTGCTGGGGTTTTCCAGGAGCAGACACCCCAGATTAACCTGTGACCTCCTTTTGTTTTGTTTTATAAGAAAAAAGTTTGAAGGGATGAATGAGCAATTTTTACTTTTTAAAAAACTATTTTATCTATTTATTTTTTTTTTAGAGAGACAGCAAGAACACACACGAGCAGGGAGGAGAGGCAGAGAGAGAGAGGGAAAAGCAGACTCCCCTGATGTGGGGCTCCATCCCAGGACCCTGGGATCATGACCTGAGCTGAAGGCAGACGCTTAACTGACCGAGCCACCCAGGCAACTTGAATGAGCAATTTTTAAGTAAGCTTACCTAGCAAAAACTCCATAAATTAGTAAAAAGGACAAAGAATATGAATAGATAATTCACCAGGAAGGCTGAAAACACAAGAAAATATTCTCAACCTACTTAGCGTTCAGGAAAATTCACACTGAAACAGTGATAAGATACTATTTTCCCATCAAATTAACTAAAATTGAAAGCCGTGTAGGCAGGGATGCAGGGAGCCCGGCCCTCAGGGCTTCCCGCAGGGAGGTAAATTGGGGTGCAGCCTGCTTTGAAAAGGTATTTCCTTGAACTCAGCAACTTTACTTCTCTGCCCTAGGAGTGCATTAGTCAGAAAAGAAACAATTGATGCATTATCTGGAAAAGAAAAAAAGAGAGAGAACTAACTTCCAAATGAATCCCTCAAGGCTTGGCTGAACTACTGCTTCGTGCAGAATAGTGTGCAGCCATTTGAAGTGTGAGGTGAATTAAACCAAACAGGAGGTGGCACTTCACACCTGGTAGAATGACAGATATTTAGATATCTACCGATGCTGGGTGTCCAGTACGTGAAGAAACACATAGCTGCTGGGAGAGTAAGCTGGAAGCCACTCTAGAAAGCAGTGCAGTGACATCTAATAGAACTAAAGACAGATTCGTGCCACATCGCACCCATAGCACTCTGGGGATAAATATGAGCGAAACTCTTACACTGATAGACAAGGATGCTCACTGCAATCCCACCAAAAATCCAAAACAACCTAAATACCCACCAGGAGAAAAGTGGACAAATAAACTGTGGTCTAGTCACATGGTGGCGTAGTATACAGCAGTGAAAATGAGTGAACCAGAGCGGCACCTGGCTGGCTCAGTCAGTGGAGCATGCGGCACTTGCTCTTGGGGTCATGAGTTCAAACCTCATACTGGGTGTGGAGTCTACTTTAAGTAAATAAACTAATTAATTTTCAAAATGAAAATGAATGAACCCAGAATGTGTCTGTGGAATATGCTGCCCCCCTTCTTTTTTTTTTTTTAAGATTTTATTTATTTATTCATGACAGACACAGAGAGAGAGCCAGAGGCACAGGCAGAGGGAGAAGCAGGCTCCATGGAAGGAGCCTGATGTGGGACCCGATCCCAGGACTCCAGGATCAGGCCCTGGGCCGAAGGCAGGCGCTAAACCACTGAGCCACCCAGGGATCCCTGTTCCTCCCCTTCTGAGAAGAGAGAATGCACGTGTGAGTGTGCGTATGTGTGGGTGTACACACATGTGTTTGTGTATAAGTGAAGGCACAGAAGAAGGTCTGAAAGGATTCATACCAAGGTAATAGCAGTGCTTACCTCTGAGGAGGATGTAGGATTTGGAGGGGACAGATTCAAACAGATCTGCATTCTTCTCCTGGTAGTCTCTTTGTTGGGATTTTTCCAGGGGACTCTCCATGACCAGATGTCTGGATTGAGGGAGGTGGTGGCCATCAAAGTGTTCTAAAGTGAAATCAGATATCGGTCCCCCACCTAGCACCCTTCATAGCTCCCCACTGCCTGTAAGTGGAAGCTTGACCTCTTGAATCTGCTTTATGGACCCCCTTTCTCCCTGGAACCCCACAGTCAACCACTGTGGCTCTTGGAATGGGCTAGATGCTAACAGCTGGGCTCTCTTTCTCCTTTGTGTTTCTTTTATGTGTGTGTTAGATGGATGCAAAAATAGCCCCAATTTCTCATCCCTGCCTGTCCATATCCATGTCCATTTGCATGTAACTTTGCAGCTCCTCTCATACTCCTTGTGACTTGCTTTGATCAACAGACCATGGTGGAAGTTCCATGTGAACAAGCCCTGGCTAGCCTGCTGGATGTTCAGAGGCCCACGGCATGGTCACTCCTGTCACCCAGCCCACAGCTGGTCCACCAGCCAAACCTCCAGTTGACCACAGATGTTTTCATGAGCCCAGCAGAGTTTGACCAAGCTGAGTCCAAATCAGAAGTCCAACCACTTGGTTGACCCACAGAATCACAAGCAACAATACATGATGTGTTGTTATAAGCCATCAGGTTTGCAGGTTGTTTGTCATGCAGCATAAGTTAACTGATAGAGTCTACCTACAAGGCCTTTCTTTACCCTCACTCACCTTCTCTGTATGGTTTTCCATTCATCCTTTTGGACTCAGTAGAGCTCTGAAAAGCCCCCCACCGACCCCTTAGGAGGTGAGGACCCCCTCCACTGGTTCCAGCAGCCCTCAGGACCTCTAGCACCCTGAGTTACAGCTCTCCCACACTAGCCCCTGAGTTTTGGAGGGCCCCAGGGGTGGTCAGGGCTGTCTCTGTCTTGTTCCTGGTGCCTAGTACAGTGCCTTGGCACACAGTAGGCACTCAGCACCCACTGCTGTGGAACCCCAGTGCCAGAGCCTGGCCTGGCCGAGCAGAAGAAGGCCTGAGAACCATCTGCAGGAACCATGTTAGAGCAGGAGACAAGATGAGGCAAAGAGGCACATGGTGCTGGCACAAACAGGGGCAGCAATTTTGATCACATTGTGGGGAATTTCCAAGAATTGAGAAATAGAGAAAGACTCAGAGATACAAACATTCCCACGAGCTTCATATGAAACCCTGCTCCTGGGCTGTGCCAGGATAGAGCTTTGCATTTGGAGGAAAGAAGTTCTAAAATGTGCTGCAGATCTAAAAATTCTTCTAGAGGATTGCCTTTTTACAGGGAAATGATAAGTGTGAGGATCAGACTGCTGGAGAGAAGAAGGGCTGCTCAGTGCACTTATGTGACTCCTACTGAGACCGGTAGGGGATTTAAGTCCTGCTGACAACTGTTTTACCATCGTCAAACATAGAGTGGGGGGTCTCCTCCAGGTGAACTTTCTCATAGGTCTAAAGATTACAGTTCTAGACTTTTAGGAGCAGCAATAAGGTGTTTGTTTTGTGTAACACTAGCCCCATGTAGCATCAGGGCATTTGTGACTTTAGTCAATAAATGCATAGAGGGCAGGGCAGAAATAGTAATAGCCATCATGTTCTATGTCCATGTTTTATATTCACTATTTTATTTATACATGAAGAAGCTAAAGTTCAGAGAGGACCTGGGCTGGAACCCAGAAACCCTCCGTGTTAGTGAAGAAACCAGCTTATGACTCCAAAACAAAAGCGGTTGAAACAAAAAAAAAAAAACCCATGAAATCATTCTCTCATGAGACTCTTCAAGTGTAAGTTGTGGAGGGTGGGAAGGCAGCATGGGAGATCCAGCCAGGCTCCTTCTTGCTTGATGCTGTGCTGTTCTCTGCCCACAGATTCCCCCTCAGGACACAAGATAGCTGTTGTGGCTCTGGTCATCATGACCACACTCCAGCCATTAGACAGGAAACAAGAGAAGGGGAAGATGCCTCCATTCTCTGAAACGTGCAACCCAGAACTGCACATACCATTTCCAGTTATACCCCCTCTGCCAGACCTTAATGTCATGCCACTGCAGATGCAAGGGAAGTGGGGGCAGATGCAGTCCTATGCTGAGTGGCTAGGAGCCCAGCTAGAACTCGGAGTGATATTACTAAAAGAAGGAAAGGAAATGAATATTGGGGGCTGTTAGCACTTGCTTCCACCTCTTCTGAGGCTCCTCCATTATTTTAATCTCTTGACCACCACTCCAGGGGCTGCTCCTTTGAACTTGGTTCACAATTCTGGGAAGGAAACTCACATTTATTGAGTGCCTACTGTGCACTGCAGTTTTCATAGCAATAATCTCATCAGTCTCTATAGACAATTCTACCAACTGGGATGAGTCTCCTTTTTAAAGCCGAGAGGCCTGAGACCTAATTAGGTTGGGGGACATGGTCTGAGGTTGCATGGCTGGGAAGAGCACCCACTGCCTCTCTGGGAGCACCCTGGGGGGGCAGGAGTGCATGTCTCTGCTGGGGGGCATGGGGTAGGCTGCCATCAGGTTTTGCTGACTTGGTGGTGCTGGAGTGGGAAGGTTGGTTCAATGCTCTCTCCTCCAAGAGGCAAGATCGAGGTGGGAAAGCTCTGTGTCCTTGAGGCTGACCAGGTCACAGACCAGAGACTTGCTCCCTCCCATCCATCTCTGAGTCCTCTGCGCACCCTGGCCTGGGGTCTGCTTCCTTAGACTGGGTTGAGTGGATAGATATGAGTGTATACAACAGGCATTCCATAAACCTGATGCTACCTGGAGCCTGGAGATGACGTGGGTCACACCCTCAACCCAACCTAACCTAAGTCGGCAGCTCTTTGCCTTTATACATGGCAAGTGCCCCAAAGTGGCTGTCACATCAATTATAAATTAAAAAGGGAAAGAGAATTTTCTCTCTACCAGGAAAAAAAGAGACTTTTCTGGTTTGAGAGTAAATTTTTTTCTCTGGATGTGAGGCTGAAACGAGCATATTGTTTCTCAGAATAAGTGGGCTGAGGTGGGGCAGTGTGGACACAGGGCTGACAGCCACTGTCCCTTCCACTGCCACGCCTGCCCAACACCCTTGACATGGAGAGCGAGACCTGGTGACCAGCCATGGGAATCTTCTCCTTGGCGTCCACACTGTGGGAAGGAGGCCTGGTGGAGCCGGACATCACCCACTTCGTGGCCAGCCCCTCTGGGCCACTGTTAGCTCTGCCCACCCTGTCTCCCGCCCTCCTCCTTTTGGCAGCCATACCCCCCAGGTATTTTTTGGGCTCTTTCCAGTCCCCACCCTCACTCAGACCATTTGGTTTATTTATAGTTGGGGGGATGATCAGGTGACCTAGGGCTGGCCAATCAGAGGATGAATCCCCCTTGTAGCCTGGTGATGGGTTTTGGGGTGAACAGCTGACCCTGGCCTGGCCAATCAGAGGATGAATCCCCCTTCTAGCCTGGTGATGGGTTTGGGGGTGACCAGCTGACCCTGGCTGGCCAATCAGAGGACAAATCCCCCTTCTAGCCTGGTGATGGGTTTAGAGGTGACCAGCTGACCCTGGCTTGGCCAATAAGAGACCTACCCAGGGAGCTTTGCCAGAACTGTGAGGAAAGAGCAGCTGACTTTGTGAGGTGCTTCCCGAGCCTAGGACTTGCTGGTAGCCCTTTCATGCCACCTCTTGGGAACAGTCAGCCTATGTGTGGAGCCAACACAGAGAAAAGCATAGCCGGAAGGGGGGATACAGAAGTCTGATAACATCTGAGTGCCTGCATCCAGCTGTGCCTGAAGCCCTGAGCTTTTTGTTTACAGAAGCCAATAATTTCTTCCTTTTGCTTCAGCCCTATTGGTTTAGAGTTCCTGTGACTTGTAGCTGAAGAAATCCTGACTGACATCCACTTAGGGAGGCAGAGTAAAGAGGGGTCACAGTAAAGAGCCCAGCTATTACCCACTCCAGCCCCACCATGACACTGAGGACCTTCCATCTCAGGCTCCAGCCACCCTTTGCCACTTTGGAGGTTGAGGGTAACTCTTAGCCCTATATCTCCATCCTTGTTCCCCTTGCAGATGATGTTCTCTCAGTAAGGCCTCCTTCAGACTGAGGCCCAGGAATGTCAGAAGTCTCCCACCAGCTGCAGTGCGCCAGGATGTAGGCTGGCCACATGAAGCTTGCAGTCCTCTTAAGCTCAGTGTAAGATTCCCCTTTTGCAGATAAGGAGACGCAGAGAGATGACAACTTGCTTGCAGTTTCACAGGCCACCTGGGTCTCTGTGACTCCAAAGTTGGGACTTTTCTCATGCCCAGGTCTGCTCCCTCTACCCCGCACCTCCAGGGGGCTCTGCCGGTTGCCCAAACCCAGCATCCTGGGGGTCAGGGTCAGGTGGATGCTACCAAATTTCAGTCCATCCTGCAGATAAAGAGCTTGAGAGCAACAAAAACCACCACCCTTAACACCAAGTATAGGAGCTGAGCTTTTAATGCCCCAATTTGCTTAGTCTCCAGGCTGAGCCAGGGAGAGCTAGAGCTTCATGTTTTGGTTATGTGGAGGACGGGCAGTTATGTAGGCAGCTCAATTCAGATGCCCAGAGTTCTGGCCAGCTTTGCACCAAGGACTCTCCAGAATGGAGAATGGAGTGGAGCTATTAAGACAGGCTCACCCAGCAAAGGAGCTGGAATCTGGGACCTGTGAACATCCCCAGGGAAGGTGAGTCCATCTGAATTTCCTACTTTTTGTTTCTAAGCTCTTTGAGACAAGGGTGACACTGGGGAATCAGCTCTTCATTAAATGTAGGCAGGTGAATATGGCTTCTAGAAGCTCCAAGCTGGCCCAGAGTTGCTGTGGCCTAGTTGCCGGGCAGGAGAGTGGGTGGTTTGCAGAAGCTGAAAGAAAGGCTTGTTTCTCCCTAGGCCGTATCGGGAAGGGGAAGCACCGGGCCTGCAGCTCCATGCCAGAGGTGAGACGCTGGGCCTTAGTCCAGACTCCAGTGCCCTGACATTTTTTCAATCCTGATGACTGCGTTTTGTGTTCCCTTGACTGTCCCTCCCTGCTGCCCAGCCATCAGCCCTGGTCTGGCCTTGACTCCTGGCTAATATTAAAAATTCTGCTCAGGCTGTATGCTCAGGGCTTTGCCCGATCTCAAAATGGTCACTATCAAGAGGAGATGATCATATTAATTAATTATATTGATATTCATAATGTTAACTACAATCTGTACAGCTCTTTACCATTTACAAAGTGCTTACACATGCATACACACTGGCACACACACACACACACACACACACACACACACAAAATCTTGTTTGATCTTCCACAGCAGCCATGTGTTGGCAGGGCCAGGGATTTGGGATTTCCATTTTTCGGGGAAAGAAAGTGTTTCCCAGGGAGGGAAACAACTGCTCAGGGTCATCAGCTGAGGGTGAGCTGCTGCTGCTAAGGTGTTTTCAGAGGATAGATATGCTCTCCCAGCCCACTCATTCCTCCATTCATTCCTCCATTCGTTCCGTCCCTCATCCAGCTAGCATTTATTAAGCACCTACTGTGTGCCCCACTCTGTGCTAGACACTTATCCCTAAGCTGGGACACTTTTCCAGAGAGCAAGAGTTCTTGTGTTCCTGAGAGATGAGTTGGGGGGAGGAGGGGCAGAGATCCCACTGGCCCCTGGGAACTCGACTCCAGATGGAGCATCCTTGCCGAGTGGGGAGCCTCATCTTTCTCTCATTAATTCTTTTTTTGTTTGTTTTCCAAACTCAGGGAGACTCTGTAACCTGGTTCCGACAGGACTGACTCCTGTGGGGCAGCTGTGGCTGGGGGTAGGTGTAGGGAATGGGAGACTCCTACAATCGGCCGTAGAGTCCTTGGCAGGGCTTAGGCCGGTGCCACCTGGCTGGTCTCCGTCTTGGAGGCGCTGGCAGAGGCCTCGTCGTCACCCAGTGGGTTCTTGCCACAGCAGAGGGTGGTGATCATGCAGTTCCGGAACTGGAAGGCAAGGGACATGAGTCAGGGTCAGGGTCCACTGAAAGTGTGTGTAGCAAACTGGGGTTTGCCTCCAACCCCTTCCAAATTTGCCTCCAACCCCTTCCCTGCTTCTGGCACTCACAGGGTTCCACTGCCCTCTCAAGCCTGGCTCCCTGGAGGGAACTTAGTAAAGCACATGTGGCCCCACCCCAGAGATGCCAGGGACAGAACCCAAGGGGGTGTTGCTACTGCTGACATTCCATGATGCCCTCTGTGTGCCAAGGGCTGTCTGTATCTTATTTAGCCCTAGAGTTTGGGATTTTGCCCTCTCTAGGCATGAAGGCACTGAAGGCCAGAGAAGGGAAGTGACTTGCCCAAGGGTCACAAAGCTAGAAAATAAGAACTGAGATTTGAACCTGATATGCCTAGCTCCAGAGATCATGTTTTCCCCACTGGATCATGTATTCTGCAGAGAAGTCACTGGTTGATGTTAAAGAACTGCTTTATCCCTTCATCCCTCAGATTAAGACTTAGCTCCTTGTTCAGCTTTGTGGAGACTGGCATCCCATTCCCAGGCTTAGGACTTAGTCTATTTGACTTTTAAAGTGGGCCTCCAGAACCATCTGGCCTGGCGCATCTCATCCTTGAGCCAGTCTCAGAGACACCTGGAGGGCTTGTTAGAAATGCCAATTCCTGGGCCTACCACGAGCTTCTGATTCAGCAGGAATCTGCATTTCTCCCATATGACTGATGCCCTGGGGGATGCCAGTTTCCCTGCCTGGTTTTGCCAGTGGAATGACTGAGGACACGGCTTGTCCTCCACAGGCAGTGCCTGAAGCCTGGGGCCCCTGGACCCGCCTGTCCCGCCAGCAGGCACCTGCTTGTTCATCATGATATAGATGACAGGGTTGTAGATGGAGGAGGACTTGGCGAAGAACGCCGGGAGGGTCATGAAGATGGGGCCAAAGTCGGAGCCCTGGTGGGTGAAGATGTAGAATGCCACACTGGCATAGGGCACCCAGCAGATCAGGAAAGCGATGACCATGATGATGACCATGCGGGTGACCTCCTTTTCAGCCTTCTGGGTGGTGGCCGATTCCTGCTGCTGGGCAGCTGCCTGCAAGGATACAGGGCCTGCTATCCAGACTCCTTTGGGACAGGAGCTGGGCTCAACCCAACCAGCACATGTGTCCCCAGCACCCAGCACAAGGATCATACCTCCTTGACTGTGAAGACGAGCTGTCCATAGCAGAAGAATATGACAATCATGGGGATGGTGAAGTGGACCACGAACATGTAGATGACGAAGGACTCATTGTTGATTTCTGGCTTGAGTGTGTAGTAGTCGATCCCACATGAGCACTGCATGCCCTCTGGGATGTACCTGAGCACCAGAGGGGGGTGAGACAGGAGAGGGTGTAAGGGAGACCCACGCGTGTAGGACCTGGGAACAGGCCGCAGTTGATCAGAGCCCCGGCTCTGCCAACACACCTGCTGTGTGGCTGGTCTTGCTCTGGGCCTGCTTTCCCTCTCTGTAAAATGGGTATGATAAAATATCTGCTTGGCTACATGACTGTGAGAATTAAATCAACGGAGATGAGAGATTCAAATGCCCTTTGTGAAAACAGTGTGCTTTGGTTGTACGGAGGCTGTGGTATCACAAGATGGCCCAGTCTTTCACCTAGCAGAGCTATACGCTGCTGACCTGCGTTGTGTTTCCCCACCAGACACGCTGCTCCCAATGGCCAGAGACTAGGCCTCAGGCTCTGCAGGGCAGAGGTTGGTGGGAGAAGGAAAAAGCTCCCAAGTTCTGTATCGGAGGCAGTTCGTACAAACCAAGTTCTTACTAACAGGGTAAAAGTATTTTCTAAGTCAAAGATGGGCACACAGAGTAACTAAGGGATCTTTGCACATTTCCTAGAAAAAAGAGGTCAGGATGTTTCAGTGATTTCAGAGGATGATGACAATGGTGTTCATTGGGTGTGCCTCTGTGGATGGGACTGGGCAGGACTGGAAAACATAGGGAAAGAGTCTGGAGGGGGTGGGCTCAGATTCAACAGGAACAAAAATTGACCTCGCAGGCTGAGAGAGGAGGGAGGGGAAGAGAGCTTTCCTGGAAGCAGAGGGACACCAGGCCTCCAGGAACCCACAGGGTCACCAGTCCAGTTTCCCAAACCACTGTCCTCCTATCTCCCATCTGAGCCCCATTTGGGAATGATGGACTAGAGGCTGGACAGGACCTAGTTCCCAGCCCAGCAGCTACAATGTCACCACCTGCACTAGGCAGGCTCGCCCTCCCTGGGTGCTGAGGCCCAAGGTCAGAGGGAACTGCCTATGGGGCAAAGAGGATTGGAATCTGGCCCTGGCTTAGTTGAGGATTAGGGGCACAGCCAAGGTGAAGGGTTGGGGCGTCTTGGATTCTCCTTGACATGGGGGCTCAGGAGATGGGACCAGCCCCCATAGCAACATTAGGGAGAGCAACATCTCTCTTCCCTTGCCCTAAACTCCTCCCTTGGGAGAGCTGTCAGGGTGGCCGTTTAGGGTAGGGGACATATAAGCTCGATGCCCAGAACCAGACAGCACCAGGTTTGAGTCCTGGGTGAGGGACCCTACAGAGGACCCCCCCCCCGCCCCGGGGGACCCTTCTCTTTTGCTCAGTGCCATTACCTGGACCAGCCAGCGAGGGGGGGTGCTGCACAGGCCAGCGCCATGACCCAGGTGAAGGCAACGCCCATGATGGCATGGTTCTCCCCAAAACGGAAGTTGCTCATGGGCTTACACACCACCACGTACCGCTCAATGGCCAGGACCACCAAAGACCACAGGGCAATTTCACCTGCAAGGCAGTCAGGGACCGATCAGTCAACACACCACCTACCTGGACCCCACTGCCTAAGGAGGGAGCACTCCTGGGTGGGAGAGGGCAGCCAGGAAGGCAGCCTGGGGCAGGGCTGGGGCCAGGACTTGGGATGGAGATGGCTTGGACTCTGGGAAGAGGGGTGAAGAACCAGTCTGTGAAGGAGAATGTGCGGAGTAGACTGGGGTGACAGGCAGAGTTCCTGTTGGAGTTGGACATCCTCCCTCCCTCTTAAGCAGTGGCCTCTCCCACCTGGGGAATGAAATAACCTGGGTCTATGGGTCCCGCATATCAGAGCCAGGAAGCTGGGGAATCATTTGCCCAGTGGAAGAAGCAGAAAAGAATGGGGAAATTTGGGGGTGCCTGGGTGGCTCAGCGGTAGAGCATCTGCCTTTGACTCAGGTTGTGATCCTAGGGTCTGGGGATTGAGTCCCACACTGGGCTCCCTGCTTGGAGCCTGCTTCTTCCTATGCCTGTGTCTCTGCCTCTCTCCCTCTGTGTCTCTCATGAATAAATAAATAAAATCTTAAAAAAGAAAAAGAATGGGGGTATTCAAACATTACCCCAAAACTCAATGGGGAGGTTGGCCATAGACTCTATCAACCGAACCAGGATGTTTCTGAGAGACAAAGTGAACACTAATAATTATTACTCCAAAATAATAATTGTAAACTGGTGCCAACCTTGCATGGAAGTGCCCACCTGTACATGGTACCCTCTCATCCCTGTCTTCCAGCCTTTTTGTGTGGGGAAGTTCTTCCCCTCTGAAGAAACTCCTTCCATAGGAAGGCATTACATTGTGTGGTGATCTGTAGCTTTGAAAGATGCTTTTGAGGGACGCCTGGGTGGCTCAGTGCTTGAGCATCTGCCTTCAGTTCAGGGCGTGATCCTGGGTCCTGGATCGAGTCCCACATCATCTCCCCACAGGGAGCCTGCTTCTCCCTCTACCTCTGCCTCTGCCTCTCTCTGTGTCTCTCATGAATAAATAAATAAAGTCTTTTAAAAAGAAAAAAAAAGATGATTTCGAATAGTTTCTTTGGAAAAGTGATGAGGGTGCTGGAGAGACAATAGATCCTGTTTAGCAGCTGAGGAAAGTGAGGCCAGGAGAAGGGAAGAAACACATTCAGGGATGTGGCAGGGCAGTGACCAGGGCCTGGGTCTTCCGGCTCAGATCCAGGACTGGCCCCCCTTCTCTGGGACACACAGCCTCTCAGGCAAGCAGGAGAGAGCCCGGGGTGGCTGCAGAGCCTAGCATCAGCCAAAGAACTGCTCTGTCGCCTTGTCTTCTCTTTGCTTCACATGTCCAGGGTGCTGTCTCAGCCCCATTCCCAGGGAATCTCCAGCCATCACTGGGTGTTTGTCACCCTCAGTGAACACAGATCACCCAGCTTCAGGCCACGAGACAGGGGTGACACAGGGGTACCACATATAGACAGACCCTTCTCTGCAGGGTCAGATGGATGCCAGTGGGGAGAGACTGAGCACATTGCCCAACACAGGCAGAGTCCAGTGGCTGGAGAACTGATCATCTGTGTGCCATCCTGGGCTGAGAACCCTGAGCTCAGGGATCCAACCTGTCCACCCCTATCCCCAGTGCCCGGCATGGGTCTGACCAGCACAGGTGCTCCAAGGAAAACAACATGGCCCGAGGGGCCACAGCGATGTGGAGTGGAAACTCCCCACCACAGTGTGGCCCCAGCAAGGCCATTGACTTCTCTCATGCTCAGATTCCTTGATGTAAAGGAAGAGAGCGACAGTGTCCAATGCCTGCCCTCAATAAACAGCCTAGCTTATCATCACTAACAGTGTGTGTTGATCAAGTGGACACTGCTGGTGAACATAGTGGGGAGCAGCCCTCTTAGACACCATCCCTAAGTACGGGCTGTCTCTCCAGATCCCTCCACTCCTCCTGGCTCCCGTATACGCCCCCCCATCCCACCACGGAGACCCCAGCTCATACCGCCCAGTGTGGCAAAGAAGCCCTCCAAATTGCATCCTGTGGGCCCGAAGACAAAGTATCCATGCAGAGAGGTGTAGAGGGTGGTGGTGAAGCCACCGAAGACCATGAAGAGGTCAGCCACAGCCAGGTTGAGCAGGATGTAGTTGAGAGGTGTACGCAGCTTCTTGTGCTGGACTGTGACGTAGAGCGTGAGGAAGTTGATGGGGAAGCCGAGCACGATCAGCAGAAACATGTAGGCAGCCAGCATGGAGAACTGCCATGGCTCAGCCAGGTAGTACTGTGGGTACTCGAAGGGGCTGCGCACCACACCCGTCTTGTTGGAGAAGGGCACGTAGAAGTTCGGGCCCTCCGTCCCGTTCATGGCTGTGGTCCTGGCGGCTGCCCCGTGGGCGGCTCAGTCCTAAGAGTGCTGCTGAGGCCTGAGCTTGGCCACCCAGGGCTCCGGCAGGACGACTTCAGGCTCTGAACCCCCCCAGGCCATTATAAAGTGACCTCCCCTCCCTAAGCTCCTGGCTGAATCAGCACCTGGGAGATTGGGGGCGTTATTAATCATAATAATCCCCACTGCCGCAACTAGGGGCCTAATTGGCTTCCAAGAGAGGCCAAGGTGACTCTAGACAGAAGCCTGGGGCCAGAGAGGGGAGGTGCTGGGGACCCTGGGAAAGGGCAGAAGGCCCGCCCCCAACTCTTCTGGTCCCCAGGAATCTCTGCCCAGATCAGTCTGGTGGCCTTGGACTGGCATTGGGACCTCTGGCTCCATGCCATGTCTCCCTCACTCATGTGAGCTGACTTTGTCTCCCCACTGGACAACGAGCTCCCAAAGGGTAGAGGCTCTGGTTATTCTCAGTCTCCTGACTCCCCACACAGCCCTTTACCAATTTCTTCCCCACAAGTCACCTCCTGGCTCATCCAGTTGCCAGGCTCTGAGCCTAGCCCACCTCACCAGATTATGAGCTCTGTGAGGGCAGGGGCCTCATCCTGCCAGCTGTCGCACTCTTCATGCCAGACACACAGCCTGCATAGCCCAGGAGCTCACTAGGTATTTGAGTTGGAATCCACTCGCTCTCTCGTTCATGAAACATTTATGTACAGACCATTGAGGATAGATACAAAGATCCAGAAAGGAGGAGGTTATGGACTGAGAAAGACTCTGACGTGGGAAGAGCAGATCCAAGTCCAGGGAGGGGCTTCCGTGAAGCTAAGGCAGGGGAGACTGTCTATGAAAGGGAGGTGTCTGGGAAGGTGGTGTTTGAGGAAGAGGAGTATATTGCTAGGTTGCCAAGTGGGAAAGACGGGAGACTGAAGACAAGAGCTGGCAGGGGCCTGAGGCAGGGGCCTGTTTGGGGGTGAGGCCGCACATGGGCTCTGATGGATCTTGATGCCAGGCTGAGGAGCCTGGTTTTATCTAAAGGGCAGTGGGCAGTGGCTTGGGCAGATCTCAGGGGCAGATTGGAGGAAATGAGGATAAAAAAGGAGACCAGGGCTTGCTGTGCTGGGCACCAGATTACTGACGTGAGCAAGGCAGGCTTGGTTGTGGCCTCCTGGGACTCCAATGTGAAGGCAAAGCCCAGCCTGGAAACAGAATTGGCTGGACACTGCAGCATTCAGGGCACATCTAGGGACGTCTGGTCAGACTGGGCTGGGTCAGTGGGCCTTGGAAGCTATGTGGCAGGTAACCCCATGAGAGGGAGTTCTGGGGGCAAATGGAGGCTCAGCATGTACAGGCTCCCCCCATCAGTGAAAGGAGCACCATGATGCTTCTGAGGAATGAAGTGGAGCAGACGGGAGTGCCCGGCACGAGGATGCTTTAGGACCACCCTCCAGTACATGTGTGTATGGAGCACCGACAAGATGCTCGGTTCTGACAAATGCAGTGCAGAAGGAGGATGCCTGCAGGAAGTATCGTTCTGTGGGGTTGGCAGGGCTTACAAATAAACAAGTATTGAAACAAATGAGATAGGAAAAGTTCAGCTTGTGACCCACTCCCAACACACTGTCATTTGGAGCAGCCTGGGAAGGTGGAGGTTTGAACTGGGAATTTGGTGACAGAAGGAGCCCATGGGGAAGTGTCCCTGTTTCTGAGACTTCCATCCCTAGTACTCTTCTGTGTGTAGTCTCTTCCCACTGAGATTCCCAGACCTGTTCACTCAGACCCCTTCCCTCCAGCCCCGGCTGGTCCCAGTGGTGTCAGGGCTCACACACAGAGGGCTGATGAAATGTATGCTGGTAGAATGAATGAGCGCAGGGGCAGGCATTGCGGGGCGGTGGTGGTGGGGGGTGACCTCTCGCTGTTTAAGAAGCCTGGCTCAGTGATTAGGCCCAACGCTAATGAGGTCAAGGTGGAGGGTTTGATTCTGACGTGGCCCTGGTAGCCAGACGGAGGGAGGAGCACTGGGCCCAGCAGCTGCCCTCCACACAGTAACCCTGTGTAGGCCAGGGGGAGCCTCAACCCTAGACCTCAGTGCCTTGCCTTCACCTCCTCCTAACACTTCTGACAGCCTGCAAGCTTTTATGTTCTGTTCACGTGTTTTCTGTCCATCTCCCAGGCTGTCATGTGAGCAGGTGGGGTGGTCCCAGAGCCGAGCACGGTGCTCAGCACGTAGCCGAACACTGTAAATCATTTCCCCTACACTGGAAAGAGCTGGGATCTCTGTGCTGTTCACTGATGTATTATCCTTAGGGTCTGGCACATAGTAGGTGCTCGGTATTTGTGGACCAAGTGAATAGATCTATGTTATCTCGGTCAGTGCTTCCTTTTCTAAGTCTCAGAGTTTAATGACCCTCCCTCAGAGGGCCATGGCCAGGGGAATTAAAGGCAGCACAGGGTGACACTGCATTGTATTCTGTGAGGCATGACAAAGAATCTTTTTTTAAACTAAAAATGCTTTTTGTTTAGAGCAACAGGCTCACAGGGAGCAGGAAGTCATTAGAAATTACCCACTCTGACCCTCCTAGCTACATTTCACAAGTGGAGAAACTGAGGCCCAGGGTTGGCAGTGAGTCAGTGGCCCAGGTCACATGACAAATCTGGGTTATCACCTGCCTGGCCTGCCTCCCACCCCACACCAAAGACAGCTCTCAGGAAAGATCTGCTAGCCTTTCATACCATGGTATAAATGACTAAAAAGAAAGGATTGTGCTGGGCTGATGGGAAAGCCACTAGCCTGAGTCACACAGGCCTGGGGCAGCAGGGGTGGCCCAGAGGGCAGGGGGTGGCACTGGACTCTCGCCTGGGGCCCTGAGTCACCCTGAGTAGTCCTACCTCCCCTCTCTAGCCTCAGTTTGTTGGAATTAGAAAATCTTGGGGGATCCACACCCATCTGCAGGGTAAATGTGACCTGCTTTCCCACTAGGGCCCAATCACAGACCTTCAGACCTTACAATTTAGGTGTGATGGTCCCTTTACCCTTGTATCTGGACTGAGACTCTGTAGCTACATTGCCTGGGCACAGCTATGCCCTGTGCCTCAGTTTCCTACTCTGCTGCCTGTAAGTGATCAATGACTATTGCTTACAGTGTTAGCCTCTTTGAGTCTAACTCAGGTTACAAAGCAGTCCTTGAAGAGGCCCCCAAATCTATAAACCAGCGCTCCTACTCCATCACATGGGTTTTCTACCCGGGACTTATCACTCTCAGCAATGGTCTTATTCATCTTCTTACTGATTCACTGCCCATCTCTCTCCAGAGTGCAAGGTTGGCCTGGCCTGTACTTTGTTTCATCTGAACTGGCAGCTTAGAGTAGCAACTACATAAATATTTGTCAAATTAATGAACAATTCCTGGCCTCTCGTGAGGAGGTCTCACTCCCTACCCTCTGACCACTGAGGAAATGGGCACAGAGGGTTAATGTTCGTTAGCAGAGCCGGAAGTGAACCAGCTAACTCCCTAGCCTGAGCTTTCTCCTCCCATTCCAGATGCTCCAGAGAGGGCCCGGGAACATACCAAAGAGACAAGCCCCAGTGTGGGTGACTTTCTGAGCCACTGGCCCCTTTTGGGGGTGACCTGTGGGGGTGGGGAGCTGGGGAAGGCTATCTCTGGAGATGGTGGCACCTATCTCCAGGCTTCCCTGAGCTGGCCTCCTGAGCTCAGGTGCGGGGCTCTGACTTGGCCATGGAGGATTAGGGGCTTAGCAGGTAGCACACAAATAGCTCTTAAGCCTCCGCATAGAGGTGCTGCTGGTTCAGCAGCTTCTTCCTCCCTTCTCCTTCTCCTCCTCCTCCCCCCTGCCTCCTCTCCCAGGCTTAGCTCCACCTGGCTGCATCACTATGGCTGAGTGAGGCTGAGCTGAGAATGCCAAAGGGAAGAAAGGAAGGAGACAGACTGACTCTCCTCCCCTTCCTTCCTCTTCTCTAGTCCCACTTCCTCCCTCCCCCTTCCCCCCACTTTCCTCTTACCCCAACATCTGCCAAACAGGCTCGGGGCTAGGTCCTGGGGACACTAAGATACGTTCCTTGCCCTCAGGAGCTCCCAGGCTCAGGGGCCAGCTGACAAGGGGAAAACCAATAACCATGGGAGGCAGGGCTCTGCTCCCAGGTCCAGTGCTATGGGACCCCAAGGATCGAGGTGTGGACCAGGAAGGAGGTGGGAGGCCTCAGCAGGGGGACAACTGGGCCAAGGCACAGGGAGCAATTGGCTAGGTGGCCCTGGGGCCTAGGGTGGGCAGGCTAGGGAGGACAAGCCTAGGAGTCTGGGTGCTAGCTGGCTAGCAGTGGGGAGGAGCATGATCAGGTTCTGATTCTAGGAAGATGTTCTGGAGTCTGAGTGGAGTATTGAGATTAGTGTATGACACAAAGTGAGAGCCCTGCCCAGTGCAGGTCTCTTTGCTGAGGCTCCCAGCTGCCCCAAGGGTGGGGCTGGGACCAGGGGAAGGTCACCTGGTATCTGCCACAGGCAGATGGGGTCTTGGAGACAGGGTATGTCTGTACCGGTGTGAGAGCCACAAGGGGCTTCTGGCTTCAGTAACCTCAACTCAGGGTACAGGGGGACACCCCTGAGGCCAGGTTAGAGCCAGGCCCACCTAAGGTCTGGCCTGGGGCTCTTTCTGAGCCACACAATCTCCCTCTTCCTTACTTTCTCCTTCCAGAGATGTGGATAGCGTTGGGGACTTGGAAGATCAAGTCACAACCTGACCAACCAAGTTGTGCAGCCTGTAGCAGCCATGCCTCTCTCTAGACCTCAATGTCCTCTCAGTGAAATGGGCATCTCAATAGTCCTACAGTGCCTTCCTTGTAGCATGTGAAGGGTTGTCAGGCTCATCGGACAGACACGGTGGCTAGAGCTTCAAGGTCAGAGCTGGAGTATGCCCTTTTGCACACATAAGGAAACTGAACCTTGGAGAAAAAAGGGTCAAGACAGAGGGAC